ATGTTAATAATTTTCAAGTTATTTACACTAAGATTTTTTAATTATTAAAATAAAATAATTATATAAATGTTTGCTTTATAATTAATTATATAAAATAATTATATAAATGCCTCTAGACAATGAGGGGATTATGAGAGAATGTTTGTTTTGAATCTCAAACTTTTTATATTTTTTTAGTTTTTTCATATATTCTCTCTATATGGTTTTTTTGTTAAAAAAATATTACAACTTCTCTTTAAAAGTTACTTGGTCTTCTTATTTTGTATTTACTTAATATTAATATTAATAAAGAGTTTACACACAAAATAAAAAAATAAAAAATGCCTTCAATTTTGAAAATAAATGCTGTGAAAATGCCTCTGTTTTGTTTATAATTAAAAAAGTCCATTAATCCAGTGAATAAAAAACATGGCAAATATTTTGGCCAATATTTTGTATTTTGTGTTTGTGTTTGCATACCCCAAGTAAGCAAAGTTTGTTTGCAGCTTATGAAAATACAACTTCTTCAGGGGCCAAAGAGCTGTAGCAAACGAAATATTACACCCCTTGCACAAATGATTTGCTTAAGATACAATTCTTCCAACAATCTAAATCTACATCAAAGTTAAACATCTGCTTAAGTATCAACACCCCCACCACAAACGAAAGTTAAGGTGATTTGCATGTTTAAAATTCCCACTAGCCATTCATTGTATCAACATTCTCACATGGTTTTAATTTATGAAATGGGTTTGATTCTTTAATGGGAAATAGGTTTTAATTTAAAATTAGTTTGGTAGTATGGTTACTTGATCTGAAATGGGTTTTGAACATCTGCTCAAGTAGAAAGCTAAGCCACTTTCAGTTGTAATAAAACCACCACAATGGATCATATTTAAATAGCAACTGTGTCATAATTAAATTTGAAACCCACAACAAAAATGAAGGTGTGCTTTGTTTAGTTTAAAAGCTTTATTTAGTTTAATTACAAGAAAGCTTTGTTTAGTTTAATTACAAGAAAGCTTTATTTTCTTTGGCCAATATTTGGGTCAGACAGTTTTGGCCAATATCTTGTGTGTCTGTTTCTATCTTTTTTTTGTATTTTGTGTTTGTGTTACCATATGTAAGCAAAGTTTTTTCAGGGGCCAAAGAGTTGTAGCAAAACAACTTAGAATAAAGTGAAAATCAAAAATCAAACTGGTAGTTAAACAAACCATTTCAGAAACCCATTTTAATATTTTTGAAATAAAAAATCATTCAAAAACACATTTAAATCTAATCATTTTCAGAAAAATATTTACATGAAAATCACGACCTTTCTTCACCTTGCACCCAGTCCAACCCTTGCAGCTCACCTTGATGGATAACATGTTGAACAAAGAAATATCACCTCTCTTTTGGTGACACAGATGAGGCTCCAAATATTAATTCATTTCCTTGATAGTGGGCAACAATTAAACAAATCACACTTTCTAATTCAGTTCATCTTAGTTTGTTCATCTTTCTCTCAATCTTGTTCTAATTTTTGTTCATCTTAGTTTGTTATTTGCTTTGTGATTCTAATGTACAGATGATAAATATTTTTCATATAATTTATTTTGAATATCTAGAGTTCTTAATTAAAAGAAAAATTTCAGAGACTTGACATTTTAATATTTATGTGTAATATGGCAAGAGAGTTTATGTTTTTTTTTTTTGCACCTTTTTAAGGGAGTATAATATTTTATGTTGTATTTCAAAAAAATTCTGGCGAATGTATATGTGTGTGTATTACTTTAGTTGCCTTCATGAAATAATTATTCATTATTGCTTATAAAATGGTTTTGTTATATGGTGAATTTTTTTTTTTTTTGCTTAAATTTATGTTTGGACTTTCCAAGTAATAAATAGTGAATTTCAAAATATTTATGATTATAATGGGTTTTAATTTTGGTTTTAATTTCATCTCTATAAAATTGAAGTCAATTAGGAAAGAGAAGAGTTTAAATTTGGACAATTGTTGTGCTCTAATTTTAATTTATCATTTTAATGTGATTATTAAAATAGATCTATTCTAAACGTTGGGTTGGCTTAGAAAATGTGAGTTTGATTATGGGTTTCTTAGAGAATGTAGATAGAGAGAGAGAGGGAAGGAGGGAGAGAGAGGGGGGGATTATTTGGGACTTGATTTGTGGTTAGTGCTTTGTGTTGTATAAATTAGTCTGAGAGGGAAGGGGCTGTTTGTTTTGAGCTATTTAAAAAGAAAGTAAGGGTGATTTGTTTAACTGATCTTCTTACAAGAAAAAAAAAAATTAAACTCACATACTCAAAAAAATGTATTTAACATTTTATTATATAAAAAAAATTATACCATTCAAATGTAATATATTTGCTGTGTGATTCTAATATACAGATGATAAATATTTTTCATATAATTTATTTTGAATATTTAGAGTTCCTAATTAAATAAAAATTTTGGAGACTTGGTGTAACAACCCGACCCTGGTACATGTTTCCTGATATATTTTCAGTCCTTGTTTTGTGCTTTTAAATATTTACTATAAAATCCCATGAGAAATTAAGGTTCAGTACGGGAAATCCATGTTTAAGGATGTCTATCTGTTTAACATGCAAAGTATCTGTTACATCTAGAATGGTTGAATCAGAAATTGGAAGCCTTAACGGCCTAGTTATCTGAAATTGATTATATATCTGTGATCAACATAATTTTTAAGTAATATTAGGCATGTTTATGAAATTTCAATTTCGGAATGATTAAACGATTGAATTTTGTCCTATATGCCTTTATTTATGAATATATATATATACCTAAGTCCTCTTGGGCCTTGATCAAAAACGTGAAACACCTCTTGGAGAGAAATAAGGGTTTGGAAGGAAGAGAAGAGGTCTTCAAGGGAGCAAGTGAGGAAGGAAAAGGGGTTGTAGAGATCCTAAAGCTTAAGGTATGTTTGATCTTTTGATTTGTCTCTCTTGAAGTTGAGTAAGAACTTCTCCATGTTATTGTCTTCTCTTGTGTTAAATTAGTTGGGTTATCTAGTGGAGAATTTTATCTTCAAGCTTGAATTCACTTATTTACTCAAATGGTGTGTGTGTGTGGGGGGGTTGGATATGATTATGAAGCTAAAAGAAATAAGGCTCCAAGTAGGTGTAATCAAGTTGTGTTCATGGGTTAGAAGATCTAATTATGCATGATTCATGTTTGGTTAAAGAGGGTATACTCCTCCTTTGGTTGTTTTGAAACCTAATCTAAGTGTTGGATGAAATTCTACTTCAATCCTTGGTTTTTATGCCAACTCCATGGAATATATATTATATATACAATGTGTTATGTTTTATGAACATAAGGAATGTAAATTAAAGGATGAAATTTGAAAGCATAGTGACTTGATCAAGCTTTTAATCATGTTACCTTGTGATATTTCAATGATAAATTATGTTATAGTGAAGTTGGGTTCAAGTATTGCCTTAGTTTCATCTTGGGTTGCATGAGAAATGAAGTGATGATGCTTAAAATTGAGTTGAAACCAAGCTGCCCCAAAACAGGGCCATGGCCGCTCGAGCGGAGGCCTTGGGCGCTCGAGCGAAGGAAGAAGAAAAACCTGGAGATGCCTACTGTCTACGGCCGCTCGAGCGGAGGGGGATGACCGCACATGCGGTGCTTGGCCGCTCGAGCGGTTGGCCGCATGTGCGGCCCGGGCTGGAAAAGTGGTTCGCTTAGTTTTGCGTTCTTGACTCACTGGTATTTTTAGAATATTTTCTGATGATTTCAAGAGGGTTGTAAATTCATGCAAAGTGTAATGATTCAGGAAATGATTTAAGAAAGAAAAGAGAACTAATGTGCAAGTTTTGCGTGTGTGCAGGACACACTCCGGGAGGAAGTAACACGTCATCTCAACACTGTGAGTAGTAGTACGTTTTACTTACAGTTAACGAATGCCAATAGCATTCTATTGTACATGTTGATTATGCACTTATGCGAATGATTAAGGGAATGTAAATGTATGATCACCTTCCCTACTCTCATGATGTAAGGGCTTTAATGCCATATGTTTCAAGGGCCTCGAGCCATATGTTTCAAGGGCCTCGTACCAATATGATTTCAAGGGCTTAAATGCCACATGTTTCAAGGGCGTTTACGCCGTATGTTTCAAGGGCTTCTAGCCACCATGTTTCAAGGGCCTTGTGCCATCATGTCTCAAGGGCTTAGCCATTATGTTTATGTTGCAAGATTGGGCGTAAGGCCGTCATGTACTTAGCACAGAATCAGACTAATTATGTGAACTCTGCATCTTTGTATGCACTGATATGAATATGTTCAAGTTAAGCATCGTTGTATTTATGTATTACTATTCACTGAGCTCGGCTCACTCTCTATTATGTCTGTTTCTGTAGGTCACCAGTCAGGTGGTCAGTCCTAGTCACGACGCCGCTTTCTTTTGTCAACCTCCGTGTGTACAGGCACTATACAAGGCCATTGATTTTGTTAAGCTGTTAAGATGTTGGCTTGTTTTTTTTTTTTTTGAGTGTCCATCTAAGGTTGATGTATATAACTTTCATGTTTTGTGTATGCCCAATTACCGGGCTGGGACTGTATATGTATATGTATATAACCAATGCTCCGGGTTATAGTTTGAGACTTTATCTATCCGCTATGATGCATGTGATGTATGAGATCCTGGCATGTAGAAGTAGCTCAATGGAGTTTATTTGCCTCATTATTTTTGTATTTCATGTTTCCAATAAGGCCCCATATATTATGCTATCAGGTTACATGCCCATTTCTAAATAGGTCATGCCCAAACTTTTAGGGGCAGGTTTGGGGCGTAACAAGTGGTTTCAGAGCACGAGTTGCTATCTCACACACGGATCCATTGAGCTGTAGGGTGTCTAGAAAAAATTTAGGCATCATGCATGACATCCTAAAAGTATAAGACAAGTTTGATGGCAACATTAAGTGTACTCTGATAATGTTAATAATTTTGAACTATGTCTATTGTATATAGTTGATTGTTGTGTAGATCATGGTGAGAACAAGGACAGAAGATGCGGAAGATCCTACCTTAGCACGACTGGATAGGATGGAGAGGATGATTATGGAAATGGCGGAGACTCTACGGCAACAACAGCAACAGCCTCAACAACAGCCGCCATCGCTACCGGTACCTCCACCGACAGCACAAGATTTTCATGCTGAAGACCGGACTATTACTCTTACTAAGGAGTTTAAAAAGATGAAACCGCCATCTTTCAAAGGAGGAATAGAGCCAATGAAATCTGAAGCGTGGGTGTTGGGAATAGAGAAGTTATTCGAAGTTTTTCCTTGTACCGAAGCTCAAAAGGTGTAACTAGCTGCCTTCACTCTTGAGGATGAGGCACGGAGGTGGTGGATGCTTACGAGAACAATCCATCCAGGGTTAACATGGGACAGATTTCTAGAGCTGTTTTATGATAAATATTTCCCTCAAAGCATACAGGATAAAAAGGTGACTGAATTTGAAACTCTCAGACAAGGGAACAAGACTGTTGCTAAATATGAGGCCCAATTTGCAGAGTTAGCCCGGTTTGCACCGCACATGGTGGACACGGACTATAAGAAGGCACGGAAATTTGAAGGGGGATTACGGGGAGCAATTCTGGATCGAGTCAATATGTTGAAGTTACCTACCTATGTAGACGTACTGGAAAGGGCTGTTATAGCTGAGGGAAACCTTACTACTCGGAATCGGATCTCCGAGTGGAAAGGAAAAAGGCAGAATAATCAATGGTCAAAGGGGCCAAGTATTCCACCAAATAAGAAACAAAATTCAGGGACTTCAAATACTTCTGCCCCTAGTCAGGGTATGATTCCTGTTTGTTCGGAATGTGGAAGGAGGCATCGTGGGACGTGCCATTGGAAGTCTAGAGCCTGTTATCAGTATGGCAAAACAGGTCATTTGATAAGGGATTGCCCTCAGAGGAATCAACGAAATGACAATAGGGCTGCTACTAGTTCAGCGGGATCTACACCAACTACTAACACCAAGACACCGGTCAAACCTAACAACAATAAAGACACTGTGAGGCAAGGCAGGGTGTTTGCATTGGTTCCGGGAGATGTGCAAAATGCAGCAACAGTGGTGTCAAGTACATTTATGGTTCACGGTCATTCTGCTTCTGTCTTATTTGATTCTGGTTCTACCCATTCTTTTGTGTCAAAACTATTTGCTCCTAATTTAGATAAAATTGAAGAAAAACTGTCTTATATGTTATGTGTGTCTTCACCTTTGGAAGACTCTATGCTCTGTACTTTTGTCTATTTTGGTTGTGAACTCGAGCTTGGGGATATCCAGGTATATGCCAATCTGTTACCTCTTGACATGACCTATTTTGATATTATTCTGGGAATGGACTGGTTGGGTGAATATGGTGCAACTATAGATTGTCTAACGAAACAAATCAGTTTCCACCCTCCGGGACAATTAGAGTCTACCTTACAGGGACATGGCGTGACCTCTCCACCTTATTTGATCTCGGCAGCGAAGGCTTGTAAATTAATTCAGAAAGGATGTCAGGGGTATTTATGCAGTGTTTTGAAGGAGCAAGTGGTCAATGGAAATATTGACATGATCCCAATTGTTTGTGAATTTCCGGATGTCTTTCCTGAAGAATTGCCAGAGCAGTTGATAGACCGTGAAATTGAGTTTACCATTGAAGTAGTACCGGGAACTCAACCCATTTCGAAGACTCCGTATAGAATGTCACCAGTTGAGATGAAGGAATTAAAAATGCAGTTGCAAGATTTATTGGACAAGGGATTCATCCGTCCGAGTGTGTCTCCGTGGGGTGCACCAGTTCTGTTTGTAAAGAAGAATGATGGAACACTCCAGCTGTGTATCGATTACAGAGAACTTAATAAAGTCACAATCAAGAATAAGTATCCATTGCCAAGAATTGATGACCTATTTGATCAGCTTCAGGGGGCACAAGTCTTTTCCAAGATTGATTTACGGTCTGGATACCATCAATTAAAGGTCAAGGCTGATGATGTTGAGAAGATAGCTTTTCGAACCCGGTACGGTCATTATGAATTTTTGGTTATGCCCTTCGGAGTCACTAACGCACCAGTAGCTTTTATGGATCTGATGAACCGTGTCTTTAAGCCCTATTTGGATGAATTTGTGGTGGTTTTTATTGATGATATTCTCATCTATTCGAAGAATACAGAAACTCACGAGAATCATCTCCGCTTGATCCTTCAAACCCTCCAGGAAAAGAAACTGTATGCAAAGCTGAAGAAATGTGAATTCTGGCTACTAGAGGTGGCATTTCTGGGGCATATCATCACAAAGGAAGGAGTTTCCGTCGACCCACACAAGATTGAGGCAATTGTGAAATGGCCAACTCCTACTAATGTGACTGAGGTGCGTAGTTTTATGGGGTTAGCTGGCTATTACAGGAGATTTGTTCAAGATTTTTCTAAAATTGCTGTGCCACTTACACAACTGACTCGAAAGGGAGTTGCATTCGAATGGTCAGAGGAGCGGGAATCTGCCTTCTAGGAATTGAAGACAAGGTTGACAACAGCACCAGTTTTGGCCTTGCCATCTGGCACAGAAGGATTTGTAATCTACAGTGATGCTTCGCATAAAGGGCTTGGTTGTGTACTTACGCAAAATGGAAGAGTCATCGCTTATGCTTCTCGGTAGCTAAAATCCCATGAGAAGAATTATCCCACGCATGATCTGGAGCTAGCTGCAGTAGTTTTTGCTTTAAAGATATGGAGACACTATTTGTATGTCATTACCTGTGAAGTATATACCGACCACAAGAGTCTCAAGTACCTTTTTACTCAAAAGAGTTGAATATGCGGCATCGACGGCGGTTGGAACTTCTTAAAGATTATGATTTGCAGATTCATTACCATCCTGGTAAAGCCAACACAGTTGCAGATGCGCTCAGTCGGAAAAGTATGGGGACTTTGGCAAGTTTGGTTACAGGGCAAAATGAATTAGTAATTGAATTGGATAAGATGGGAGTAGACTTTGTGCTACATGGACAGGAAGCTTTAATGGCAGCGATGATGGCCCAACCAACCTTACTTGAGGAAATTAAGTTGCATCAGACAGAAGATGAAGCTTTAAGGAAGATATGTGATGAGTTAGGAACAAAACCAAAGTCGGGATTCAGTTTGGTAGATTCGGTGCTCAAATTTCAAAATCGAATATGTGTCCCCAATGTGTTAAACCTTAAATAAAAACTGATGGAAGACGCACATACCTCAAGGTTCTCAGTGCATCCGGGGAGTACCAAAATGTACCGAGATCTGAAGCAGAATTTTTGGTGGCCAAGTACGAAAAAGGAGATCGCGGAGTTTGTCTCTAAGTGTTTGCAATGCCAGCAAGTAAAAGCGGAGCATCAAAGACCTGCCGGTTTGTTGCAACCTCTTCCCATCCTGGAATGGAAATGGGAACATTTGACCATGGATTTTGTTGTGGGGTTACCACAGACTCCTCGGGGTATGAATTCAATATGGGTCATTGTGGACCGATTAACTAAGTCCGCCCACTTTCTACCAGTAAAGACTTAGTATAATGCAGATAAACTGGCGGTAATTTATGTAAATGAAATTGTGAGGCTTCATGGTGTTCCGGTCTCAATTGTGTCAGATAGGGATCCTAAGTTTATTTCCAGATTCTGGCAGAGTTTACAAGAAGCAATGGGTATAGAATTAAAGTTCAGCACAGCCTTCCACCCTCAGACCGACGGTCAATTCGAGAGAACGATACAGACTCTTGAGGATATGCTCCGAATGTGTGTGCTAGATTTTCAAGAAAGCTGGGAAACCCATCTACCGTTGGTAGAATTTGCGTACAATAATAGCTATCATTCGAGTATAAACATGGCACCCTATGAAGCTTTATATGGAAGACCATGTCGTTCTCCCGTGTGTTGGGCTGAAGTTGGAGATAAGGGCCTGAAATTGTTCAGTTGACAACTGAAAAAGTTCAAGTTATTCGGGAAAGATTGAAAACTGCTCAAAGTAGACAGAAAAGTTATGCGGAGAACCGACGGAGGGATTTGGAATTTAAAGTGGATAGTCATGTCTTCGTGAAAGTTACTCCGATGAAAGGACACCCAATATTCGGAAAGAGGGGTAAGTTGACACCCCGGTATGTTGGTCCTTTTCAGATTCTAGAAATAGTGGGTCCGGTAGCTTACCAGGTTGCTCTTCCGCCAAATATGAGTCAAGTACATAACGTGTTCCATGTCTCCATGCTTCGAGGATACCTTCCGGATCCGTCACATGTCATTGATTACCACCAAATTGAGTTGGATGACAAACTAATTTATGAGGAAAAACCAATCCGCATTTTGGACCGACAAGTGAGACACTTACGAAACTGAGAAATTCCAATGGTAAAGGTGGAATAGCAAGAACATTACGGAACCGACGCAATGTGGGAAAGAGATGAGGAAATGCAACACCAGTACCCACATTTGTTTCTGCCCTAAGGTACAACAAGTTTGGAGGACCAAACTTATTTAAGGGGGGGGAGAGTGTAACAACCAGACCCTCGTACATGTTTCCTGATATATTTTCAGTCCTTGTTTTGTGCTTTTAAATGTTTACTGTAAAATCCCATGAGAAATTAAGGTTCAGTACGGGAAATCCATGTTTAAGGATGTCTATCTGTTTAACATGCAAAGTATCTGTTACATCTAGAATGGTTGAATCAGAAATTGGAAGCCTTAACGGCCTAGTTATCTGAAATTGATTATATATCTGTGATCAGCATAATTTTTAAGTAATATTAGGCATGTTTATGAAATTTCAGTTTCGGAATGATTAAACGATTGGATTTTGTCCTATATGCCTTTATTTATGAATATATATACACCTAAGTCCTCTTGAGCCTTGATCAAAAACGTGAAACACCTCTTGGAGAGAAATAAGTGTTTGGAAGGAAGAGAAAAGGTCTTCAAGGGAGCAAGTGAGGAAGGAAAAGGGGTTGTAGAGATCCTAAAGCTTAAGGTATGTTTGATCTTTTGATTTGTCTCTCTTGAAGTTGAGTAAGAACTTCTCCATGTTATTGTCTTCTCTTGTGTTAAATTAGTTGGGTTATCTAGTGGAGAATTTTATCTTCAAGCTTGAATTCACTTATTTACTCAAATGGTGTGTGTGTGTAGGGGGGGGGGTTGGATATGATTATGAAGCTAAAAGAAATAAGGCTCCAAGTAGGTGCAATCAAGTTGTGTTCATGGGTTGGAAGATCTAATTATGCATGATTCATGTTTGGTTAAAGAGGGTATACTCCTCATTTGGTTGTTTTGAAACCTAATCTAAGTGTTGGATGAAATTCTACTTCAATCTTTGGGTTTTATGCCAACTCCATGGAATATATATTATATATACAATGTGTTATGTTTTATGAACATAAGGAATGTAAATTAAAGGATGAAATTTGAAAGCATAGTGACTTGATCAAGCTTTTAATCATGTTACCTTGTGATATTTCAATGATAAATTATGTTATAGTGAAGTTGGGTTCAAGTATTGCCTTAGTTTCATCTTGGGTTGCATGAGAAATGAAGTGATGATGCTTAAAATTGAGTTGAAACCGAGCTGCCCCAAAACAGGGCCATGGCCGCTCGAGCAGAGGCCTTGGGCGCTCGAGCGAAGGAAGAAGAAAAACCTAGAGATGCCTACTGTCTACGGCCGCTCGAGCGGAGGGGGATGACCGCACATGCGGTGCTTGGCCGCTCGAGCGGTTGGCCGCATGTGCGGCCCGGGCTGGAAAAGTGGTTCGCTTAGTTTTGCGTGCTTGACTCACTGGTATTTTTAGAATATTTTCTGATGATTTCAAGAGGGTTGTAAATTCATGCAAAGTGTAATGATTCAGGAAATGATTTAAGAAAGAAAAGAGAACTAATGTGCAAGTTTTGCGTGTGTGCAGGACACACTCTGGGAGGAAGTAACACGTCATCTCAACACTGTGAGTAGTAGTACGTTTTACTTACAGTTAACGAATGCCATTAGCATTCTATTGTACATGTTGATTATGCACTTATGCGAATGATTAAGGGAATGTAAATGTATGATCACCTTGCCTACTCTCATGATGTAAGGGCTTTAATGCCATATGTTCCAAGGGCCTCGTGCCATATGTTTCAAGGGCCTCGAGCCATATGTTTCAAGGGCCTCGTACCAATATGATTTCAAGGGCTTAAATGCCACATGTTTCAAGGGCGTTTACGCCGTATGTTTCAAGGGCTTCTAGCCACCATGTTTCAAGGGCCTTGTGCCATCATGTCTCAAGGGCTTAGCCATTATGTTTATGTTGCAAGATTGGGCGTAAGGCCGTCATGTACTTAGCACAGAATCAGACTAATTATGTGAACTCTGCATCTTTGTATGCACTGATATGAATATGTTCAAGTTAAGCAGCGTTGTATTATGTATTACTATTCACTGAGCTCGGCTCACTCTCTATTATGTCTGTTTCTATAGGTCACCAATCAGGTGGTCAGTCCTAGTCACGACGCTGCTTTCTTTTGTCAACCTCCGTGTGTACAGGCACTATACAAGGCCATTGATTTTGTTAGGCTGTTAAGATGTTGGCTTGTTTTTTTTTTTTGAGTGTCCATCTAAGGTTGATGTATATAACTTTCATGTTTTGTGTATGCCCAATTACCGGGCTGGGACTGTATATGTATATGTATATAACCAATGCTTCGAGTTATAGTTTGAGACTTTATCTATCCGCTATGATGCATGTGATGTATGAGATCCTGGCATGTAGAAGTAGCTCAATGGAGTTTATTTGCCTCATTATTTTTGTATTTCGTGCTTCCAATAAGGCCCCATATATTATGCTATCAGGTTACATGCCCGTTTCTAAATAAGTCATGCCCAAACTTTTAGGGGCATGTTTGAGGCGTGACACGTGGCATTTTAATATTTATGTGTAACATGGCAAGAGATTTTTTTTTTTTTTTGCACCTTTTTAAGGGAGTATAATATTCTATGTTGTATTTCAAAAAATTCTGGTGAATGTATATGTATGTGTATCACTTTAATTGCCTTCATGAAATAATTATTCATTATTGCTTATAAAATGATTTTGTTATTTGTTGATTTTTTTTTTGGGGGGGGCATAAATTTATATGAATATATGATTATAGCATGAATGTATATGATTATAACGGGTTTTGATTTTGGCTTTAATTTCATCTCTATAAAATTGAAGTCAGTTAGAAAACAGAAGAGTTCAAATTTGAACATATGTTGTGCTCCGATTTTGATTTTAATGTGTGTGTATCACTTTAATTGCCTTCATGAAATAATTATTCATTATTGCTTATAAAATGATTTTGTTATTTGTTGATTTTTTTTTTTGGGGGGGCATAAATTTATATGAATATATGATTATAGCATGAATGTATATGATTATAACGGGTTTTGATTTTGGCTTTAATTTCATCTCTATAAAATTGAAGTCAGTTAGAAAACAGAAGAGTTCAAATTTGAACATATGTTGTGCTCCGATTTTGATTTTAT